TAGTCCACGAAAGCTTATGCTCTAATAAATTTGTTAGTCTCTAAGGTGCCACAAGTCTTCCTGTTCTTCTTTTTGCGGATACAGACTAACACGGCTGCTACTCTGAATACTATACACTGAAAGCTTCAGTTTATATTCTAATTGATTTATTTTAAATTATTGTAAAAATAAGTACACTTTTCAGTAATAGTGTGCTGTGACAGTTTTGTATTTTTAGGTCTGATTTTGTAAGCAAGTAAGTGAGGTGAAACTTGGGGGTACACAAGACAAATCCGACTCCTGAAAGGGGTACAGTCATCTGGAAAGGTTGAGAGCCACTGCACAGGTACATTTAAATATATTTACTACAAACTAGTTAAGATGAACAAATGAGGCTTAGCCTAATGAGTATCTTATTGGGTGTTCATTCTAGGCAGATGTTGAGGTTTTCCTAGGGGAAGATGTATGATCACTAACAGTGCAACATTTATTGTTGGTGTTGCAAGGGGGGAAGGGATAGCTCAGTGGTTTGAGCATTGGACTGCTAAACCCAGGGTTGCGAGTTCAATCCTTGAGGGGGCCACTTAGGGATCTGGGGCAAAATCAGTACTTGGTCCTGCTAGTGAAGGCAGGGGGCTGGACTTGATAACCTTTCAAGGTCCCTTCCAGTTCTAGGAGCTAGGATATCTCCATTAATTTAAGTCTGTTTTCTTGGAAAACCTTTTGATTTTTCAAAGGAACACCTGGTCTGTCTCAATCAGAGTTCACACTACACACACAGTACATCCTGCATATACACAACTCTACAATCAGGATTTTCTTATGTAAATAAATATGAAATGTTTTTAGAAATGTTTAGATACAGATCACTTTGAATGTATGGACTGCTATAGTCAAGAATCCAAACCTTGAGGGCGGGTAAGTTGTCTAATGGTCGTATCAGTGCACTTGGGAGTTGCGATTCCTAGTTTTCCTGTTCCTGGCTTTACTAGCAACTCAGCCTGTTTTCCTACGCTTGATTTACAGGACAGTTGTGAGATTTAATGACTTATGTTTTTAAAGGACATGGATTGTCTTGGATGAAAAGCACCATGTAAATGTGAAGCAATAGCAAAGTCCCAGGGATTCTGTCATGATCTGGTCCCAAGTTCTTCAGCGAGGCCTTTACTTTGAATGGCACGCCAATGCTGAGTTAAGTGATACTTGATAATGCTGCAAAATTTACAGTGTGTGTTCAAAACCTGAGATTTTTTTTTAATCTTACTAGAAGTACAGTGTCCCTTGTGATATTATATTTTAATATTAAATACTGTATATTGTATGCTTCACCTAAAGTTTTGATGTGCTGCAGATTTTTGTACTGACAATATAAGAAGTTGTCAAGGGGGAAACCTGGAAGCTTTGGGCAGCATTTGGGGCCTTTGCCACCGCAGAAGGAAAGGGAGAGGCAGGGCCGGCTCCAGGCACCAGCCCACCAAGCATGTGCTTGGGGCGGCGCCTGGAGGAGGGCGGTGCGGCGGGGCGCTCTGGCCGCCGGGGAGAGCAGAGCGCCCTGGCCAGGCTCGCCGCCCTCCTCCTGGCACTCTGGCCGCCGGGGAGAGCGGAGCGCCCTGGCCGGGCTCGCCGCCCTCCCCCCGGTGCTCCGGCCGGTCGGGGATTGCGGGCCCCCGGCCGGGGCTGGGGCCCTCCCCCGCCGCGACGCGGGGGGGGGGG